CTTTACAGACTACATTTTGCTTTCTGTTTTTGTGCTGATAGCCTGTAATCCCTCCAACCCCTTTCAGTTTATTTTGTTATTCGTTTTTTGCTTCTTGAATTGACTACCTTATTCAAAATTTTATTACACAATAATAGGAGTGTTAAGCTTTGGCTTATTTTATAGCTTTTGAAATGTAGCATTTTCTTTATTGTTTCTTTTAATGGTTGACTTTCAGTTTTATTTCTTTAGCCTGGGAGTCACTGTAATCATTGTGTTGCATTCTGTTGAAGGTCCTTCAAGTGAAAGAGGGTTAATTACAGGTAATTCATGATTTCACCAGGAATGCAGGAACAGGGGCCTCCTGTGACCTCAGAAGGAAATAGTAGTCAGGCTTGGAGAATCTTTCTGACTTGCCACGGCTTCTTTTTTCTTTCTTTCTCTCACTTTTTTTTTTTTTTGGTAGAGACAGGGTCTCACTGTGCTGCCCAGGCTGGAGTACAGTGGCCATTCACAGGCCCCTCATGGTGCGTTACAGTCCTGAACTCCTGGCCTCCGGCAATCTTCCACTCTCAGCCTCCTGAGTAGGTGGGACTTCAGGCCCAAGCCTCTGCCCCTGGCTTGACATATCGTCTCTTGTATGGCTTTATTTTGGTGGGCTGCCTACGTTAACCTGGTGGGTTTTCTTTATTCCTCCTTTTGATCGAGGGTCATGTTAATACTGTGGCTGGCATAGGTGACTCATGGTGGGATTTGTCGGTCCCCTCAGTGGCTCCCTCTCCCCCATGTGATACATCACAGCACAGGGTTCTCTGCAAAGTCTTTACTGGCCTTGACCATGACTTCTAGCCTCTTGGAGCTCCCCTAGATTTCAGGCTATTTTGCAGTTTCTGGCTCACATTGAAGAGTTGGAAGAGCGGGCTTGGGAAGCGTTTTTGTTCCTGGTGAGTGCATGTAACTGTCATGTTGACTTGCTTGATGAGGTGTTTTTGTATGTGGCCTTTGGCTTGCTGCAATTCTTGTGTCACATTTTCATCATATAATGTCCCAGCTTTCAAATTTTTAGAAATAATTTTGTTATTTACATTTGACAAAGGCATACGACTGATTTAAAGTCCTGATCTTAATGTATATTGGCTTTTATTTAGAAATCAGTTTGTTTATGTATCCTTTAAAGATTAGTCATGCCAGTATACTTTTCTTTCGAGTCTTCTGTGTAGAGCACATAGCAGTTGTAATGGATCTCTCGGTGGGCAGACTCTGGGAACCTTTGGGCGGTGACAGGGCAAGTGGAAAAAACTCCACTGAGAAAAAGTTAGACTAACCATACAGACGTTAAAGACTGGTGGAGAGAAACAGCTGAAATCATCTGTGGTGGTGTTCACAGCTGGCTGACCTAGCCCTGAGGGCTCTGTGGCCCTTCCCACTCACCTACCCACCCTGGAGCAAGGGCCTGAAATGTGGTGGAAAACTACGTTTTAAAAAAAAAGATATCACTCCAAGAGGAAATGGGATCCTGCAAGTTTTGCCAGAACTCCACACTCCTAGAATTTGACTTAGTAAGCTCCTTGAGAGGTGATCTTAACAGTAAGTGTTAAATCAAGGAGCGAGGCTTTTGGATTGGTGGTGGTAGTGGTGGGTTGTTTTTGTTTTTTGAGTAGGAGTCTCACTCTGTCACCCAGGCTGTAGTGCAGTGGCACGCTCATGGCCACTGTAGCCTCAGCCTGCTGGACTCAAGTGATTCTTCTGCCTCAGGCTTCCAAGTAACTGGGACTACAGGCAAGTAACACCATGCCCAGCTATTTTTTGATTTGTTGTGGAGATGACGGCTTGCCAAGTTGCCTGGTCTGGTCTCGAACCCCTGAATTCAGGTAATCCTCTCACCTCTGCCTCCCAAAGTGCTAGCAATACAGGCATGAGCCACCGCGCCTGGCCATTGTCGTTGTTTTTAAATAGAAATTGGTGCCAGAAGGATGAAGTGACTTTCTTAGGGTCCCAAGACTTGGTGTGGGGGCTTGAATTACAGCTGCCCATGACTAGTAGGATGTTTTCCACAGAGCCCTGGTGACTCTCAACACCATGATCTTTGTGTGTCCAGCAGGACTTTATCTTAGCAGCATTTCGCAACGTCAAGGCTGTCCCATTTGCTGTCCAGAATTCCATGATTCCGTGTTCATAGTTCTAAATCCTTATCTCTTTCTGTTTGCAAAAGCAAATAGAGCCACTGAGAGCAGCCTTTGCCCAATAAACAGGTAGGAGACCCCCCCTGTGATTCCTTTCTGAGAGCCCAGCTTGGGTAGGATGACTCTGTGTGCTGATTGTCATTTCTATAAAAAAAATTCCTTAAAATGAATATATCAGAATAAGCATATGAAGTGAGAAAAGTCATGAATTCTGAGTTAGTGTGGTCCTTTAGGGGACTTCTTGGTGACCTTGTAGGTGTGCGACAGCCTTTGGGAGCCAGAGGGCTGCAGCACCTGAAGTTTTTATTTTATTTTATTTATTTTATTTTATTTTATTTTATTTTATTGATTTGGAGTTTCACTCTGTCACTGGCTGGAGTGCAGTGGCACACTGATGGCCACCCTAGCATTGACTTGCTGAACTCCAGAGATCCTTCAGCCTCAGCCTACCAAGTAGCTGGAACTATAGGCGTGTGCTGCCATGCCTGGTGAATTTTTTTTTTTGTTCATTGTAGAGACGGTCTCACCAACTTGCCCAGGCTGATCTGAACCCGTGGGCTCAGGCAATCCACTCGCCTTGGCCTCCCAAAGTGCTGGGATTGCAGACTGAGCCACCGAGCCCGGCCTGAAGTATTTATTTGTTTGTCTATCTGACTGTCTATCTATCCATCTATTTATGAGTTGGAATCTCACTCTTAACCCTGGCTGGAGTGCAGTGACACAATCCCGGCCACCGCAGCCTCCACCTACTCGGCTCCGGTGATCCTTCTGCCTCAGCCTTCGTGAGAACTACAGGCATGTGCCACCATTCCCGGCTAATTTTTTTGATTTATTGCCTTGGGTGAGCAGTTCCTGAAAGCTTTTACTGTCCATTTCATGCTTGAACCCTTGAGTAAGCTGTCACTGGTGTGTTACGAGACAGACCGAGCATTTTCTTGTTTTCCATCTTTATTGTCCACAGTTTAAGGATAAGGTAAATACAACTTCTATCTTGCACATGAAGGAAATAAAGCAGGTTGAAATGGAATGACCGTGACATTGTGGTATGTGTTGCTGTTTCCGTAGGACATCACATTGCACTGTCCACTGTGGTAGCTGCCGACCACGGGTGACCCTTAAGCACTTGAAATATGGTTAGTCCAAATTGACATGTATTGCAAGTATAAAATATACCCTCGCTATCAAAGATGTAGTATGAAAATGTTTCTCTCTGACACCTAACGTAACTAATTATTTTTCAATCACAGAAATTGATTGCATGCTGAAATGATCATATTTTATCTCTTGGTTTCAATAAATACGTTAAAATTTAAATTGGTTATTTTAATGTGGCTACCAGAAAATTTGGAATTAGATCTGTGGCTTCTGTTATATTTCTGCTGGACAGCACTGACTTGGAGAATAAATGGCTGCTAGCATTACAACTTGGTGCTCTCTGTGCAGCATGACATGTGGATACATGTATGCATAGGAGTGTACATTAGTATTATTAGCTATCTAGAAGCCATACAGGGTGCCCTGGGCACTCACTGGGACTTGCAAGTGTGTAGCCAGCCATGGGCCCCACGGTCAGGATGCTGATGGAAGAGCAGGCTGGAAGGGCATGCCAGGGTCGTGGGGCATATAGCACAAGGGAGGCTGGGGGCCCTCCGCTGTAGTCACGGGGGGCTTCTCGGGGTGGACAGGGGTCCGAGGCTTTAGTCAGCTTTGGTCTCCTCTCACTGGCTGGTGTCCCTGTGCTGCTGGCCCACCCAAGGGTGCTTCCTCCCAGTTTGCCTAGGTTTTGTTGCGGTGCCAGGTGAGGCAGCAGGCCAGCAGAGGGGCAGAGGACATCCCACCCGTGAGATTGGTGACTCCTCGTTTTCTTGCTCTTCAAAGGTCTTTTTCTCATTTGGATGCCCAGTCGGGGATTCAGTCGTTTTAGAAGTTTGACTGACTGCTAAATAAGATGTATGTGATTTTTAGCTCTAATGTTTTAAAATATCTTTATTTTCTTACTTTATTTATTCCTTAATGTTTGAGTTGGCATGAAAAATCCATTGAATTTTGAATCACAATTCAGTCTCGAGTTTGTAGATTTACTACTCAGCATCAGAAGTTGCACATAAAACATTGTGAAAAGTTAGTTTGGTTAATTGTGATAATTCTGTAACAAACATTACATTGTGAATTGAGAAGTCTTCATTTTGAAAAATATTTTCATTGGCTATAGATTTCAAGTTATAAAACAAAATACTTATTTACATTTGGGCATAACCAGATAATGAAGTTGTTACTAGAAACCAACAGACTGTAGATTAACAAAATTAAGAGTAAAACAAGCCTGGGTCCCGTGGCTCACACCTGTAATCCCAGCACTTTGGGAGGCAGAGACAAGAGGATTGCCTAAGTCCAGGGGTTTGAGACCAGCCTGGGCAACTTGGCGAGACTTCATCTCTACAATAAATGAAGAAAAATTAGCCGGGTGTGGTGGCGTACACCTGTGGTTCCAGCTACTTGGAAGGCTGAGGTGGAAGAATTGCCTGAGCCCAGCAGGTTGAGGCTGTGGTGGTCGTGAATGTGCCACTGCACTCCAGCCTGGGCAACAGACTAAGACTCTGACTCAAAAAAAAAAAAGAGTGCAGTAAAATATAATTACCACCATAATGTGGATGTAATTTTTATGGGGGGATTACCTTGTGGCTAGTAATGGTTCTAAGCCCATGAAAATGCTGGTTACTAGCACATGCCAGTTGACAGAATGCTTGACAAATGAGGCTTTGCGGTATTTTTAGGTAGGACTTTCTTGTGCTGAAGGCGATTGTTGGCTCATGCTTTTTCTTCCTTTCCTTCTAGAATATGGTCTCCAGCTTTAGGGTGTCTGAGCTGCAAGTGCTACTGGGCTTTGCTGGACGGAACAAGAGTGGCCGCAAGCATGACCTCCTGATGCGGGCGCTGCACCTGCTCAAGAGCGGCTGCAGCCCTGCCGTCCAGGTCAAGATCCGAGAGCTGTACCGGCGCCGCTACCCGCGGACTCTGGAGGGCCTGTCTGACTTGTCTGCCATCAAGCCGTCAGTTTTCACCCTGGACGGGGGCTCCTCGCCAGTGGAGCCCGAACTGGCCGTGGCTGGGATCCACACGTTGCCTTCCACGTCCGTGACGTCGCGCTCCCCGTCCTCCCCCGTGGGCTCTGTGCTGCTCCAGGACGCCAAGCCTGCCTTTGAGATGCAGCAGCCATCCCCGCCGATGCCTCCTGTCCACCCCGACGTGCAGCTGAAAAACCTGCCCTTCTATGACATCCTCGATGTGCTCATCAAGCCCACGAGTTTAGGTGCGTCCTAGACACATCAGTCCTCCTGAGTGGGGTGGGGGTGGAGGGGGGTTAAAACGAGGTGTCAGCTGTTGATTAATGACTTGCTATCATGAAGACCAGTTGGAGGCATCAGTGCCAAATGTTTAGCTGTGCAGTTATGACTGGAATCTAACATAAAGAGTTTTTTGCGTCACTTGAGTGGTCTTCTTTTAAAAAAATTTTTTTGTTCTGGTAAAATACAAGGGGAGACCCAAATAAACCTGGAGTTGTCTTTTGGAGGGCAAGCCTCTGTAGGACAGGCTTCCCCTGCTAGGTGTGTGTTCTAGGAACCCATGGCATCTGTGGACCAGCTGGCATTGTTGGGAGAGACTGTGTTTGGCTTCAGTGAATTTTTTTTTTTTTGAGATTCTTTCAACATTTTTGCCCATTTCATGATGGGTGATTTATGAGTGCACCTGCCCACACCACGCTGAGTGTTCAGCAGTTTTTGGCCGGAAACGGCATGACCCCTGTGTCCTACCCTCCCTAGTCACCCGCTCTCCCCATGAGCGACATTTTTTCGTTTCCCTGGATGAAAAAAGTCCTCCAAGGGAAATGATTTGCTGCTGTGGAAGAGGTGAAACAAAAATGACAGAAACACTAAACGGCATCGCAATGAACGGGTTCTAAAACTATCTTGAGCAGCCTCAACAGATGTGTTGCATCAAACAGAGAGTACTTTGAAAATGACTGAGGTTTAACCCTGTAAGAATAAATGCACAACTTTTTATACACTAATTCTGGAGTTTTTTGGGTTCCCTCTCCATGTAACAAATCTATCATCCTGGCCATTTTTAGATGTGTGGGTCAGTGATGTTAAAAAAAAAATGTGAAGTGTGCAACCATCACCGCGTCCATTGCCAGAGCTCTCTGCGTCTTGTGAAACTGAAGCTCTGTCCCTCTGTAGCTTCAGCTGTAGCTCTCCCCCCGCCCCCTGCACCCACTGCTCCGCTTTTAGTCTCTGGTTTTGACTCTTAGGAGTAGGTTGTATAAGTGGAATCATATGGTACATGTCTCTTTGTGACTGGCTTCTTTCACTTCACATAATATCCTCAAGGTTCTTCTATGTCGTCGCTGGCAAGCATTGCTTTTCTAAGGCTGAATAACACAGAAAACCTGTAGTCTTGTGTCCCGCCCTGCTGCCCACCCCTCAGTCTCAAGTCTTGCTTTTGGGGTTGAATTCAGGTTTTATCAATGTCCAAAGGTTACCTGAAACAAAAACTGATGATGTCAAGGTCACCAAGGTGGGCAAATACCTATTTTGGGCTAAAATTGAGTCAAGGTAAATCACAAGACATTTCCTTTTTTTTGTTTTTTTGAGCCGGAGTCTCACTGTGTCGCCCAGGCTGGAGTGCAGGGGCACGCTCATGGCCACCGCAGCCTCGACCTGCTGGGCTCAGGCTATCCTTCCACCTCAGCCTTCCAAGTAGCTGCAACTGCAGGCACATGCCACCACACCCAGCTAATTTTTCTTGATTTATTGTAGAGACGAGGTCTCACCAAGTTTCCCAGGCTGGTCTCGAACTTCCAGGCTCAGGCAGTCCTCTTTCCTCTGCCTCCCAAAGTGCTGGGATTACTGGCATGAGCCACTACACCCAACAGTCTCCCTTTTTAGAGGTGTGATGACTCGGCTATACCTTCTGATACTTCCTTCTTGTCCCTTCTGATGCTGTGGCCTGATATTTGCTACACTTTGGTTGTCCATGAGTGGACACTTGGTCTACTTCCATGCCCAGCTGTTGTGGACCTGGGTACTAACGTCTTTGAGCCCCTGCTCTTTGGTTCTTCTGGCCATATACCCAGATGTGGAACTGCGGGGTCATACTGGAATTCTGTTTTGTTTTTTTTTTTGAGTCGGGTCTCACTCGGTCACCCAGGCTGGAGCTAATTTTTTAAACTTTTTGTGTAGATGAGGTCTTACCATGTTGCCCAGAGCGGTCTCGAACTCCTGGGCTCAAGCAGTCTTCCCACCTTGGCCTCCCAAAGTGCTGAGAATACAGATGTGAGCCACTATGCCTGACTGGTAATTCTGTTTGTAATCTTTTGAGGTGTCATTGTGCTGTTTTCCACAGCAGCTGCACCATTTGGCATTCTTACTAGCAGTGTGCAAGGGTTCCAGTTTCTCCATATCCTCATCAGCCGCTTGCAGATCTTTGCAGAGCTGTCTGTCTGGGTTCTCCTCCCTCTTTTGAAGTGGGCTGCTGCTGTTGAGTCTTAGGTGTCCGGTGTATATGGGGTAGAGGCCCTAATCAGGCATAGGGTCTGCGGTGACTTTCTCCCATTCTGTGGGCTGCTTGTGGTGCCTCTTGACTCAGCTGTCTCTTTAAGTTTGAGTCAGGTTTTCACTGTGCCCAGGCTGGAGTGTAGCGGCACAATCCCAACTCACCCTAGCCTCGACCTCTCAGCACCCAGCATTACAGGTTCTTGCGAAGGCCCCTCTCTCAGTCTGTGTTGTTATTCCTTTGCCTTTGCCTATGCGAAGCCTGTGCTGGGAAGGTTTTGCTCTGCATTTTTCTCTAAGAATTTTGCAGTTTGAAGTTTTACGTGTAGCTGATCTATTTTGAGTTACTTTTTGTGTACGACAGGTAGGGGTCCAACTTAGTTTATTTCTGAGTCAGGGTCTCACTCTCTCACCCGGGCTGGAGTGCAGTGGCACAAACCCAACTCTCCACAGCCTTGACCTCCTGGGTTCAGGTGATCCTTCTGCCTCAACCTCCCTAATAGCTGGGACACCACCATGCCTGGCTAATCTTTTAATTTTTTTTGTAGAAACAGGGTCTCCCTATGTTGCCCTGGCTGGTCTTGACCTTCTAGGCTCAAGCTATCCTCTTGTCTTGGCCTCCCAAAGTGCTGGGAAACAGGCGTGAGCCACCACGCCCGGCCTCTGACTGTATTCTTCTGTGTGTGAATATCCAGTTTCCCCATACCATTCATTGAAAGGACTGTCCTTTCCCCGTTGGCTTGTCTTCCTCCTTAGCCAAGAACCATTTGACCGAATACGCATGGGTTCGTTTCTGGGCCCTCTGCTTTGCTCAGTTGATCTATATGTTTGTACCCACACCAGTTCTTCATTGTCTTGATGACTGTACTGATGCAGTTTTGAAATCAGGAGGAGTGAGTTTCCACTTTGTGCTTTGTCAGGATTTTTCTGGCAGTTAAGGGATCCTAGAGTGCTTTTCCTCACAGGATTGTATTCGGTCTGCCTTCTGGTTAAGTCAGAAGTTGCGAGGGGCAGGGCCAGCTCATGGGGTCGGCATGGCCTGACTGTGGCAGCAAGTTGGCTATGTATGTTTTATTTTTTGCTCTTTGCTTTATGCTTTAGTAGAACTGATGAAGCAGGTCAAGTAATGCATTTTGTCATTTCATTGCGTTCATTCTGAGATAAGGATTCAAATTCGGTGTTTGTGCACATTTCCTTGTTTGATTGTGTAGAGTCTAAGTGTAATTATTGGATCAAGGTATGAGAATGTTTTAGACTCTTAGACTCTTGATAATATGTTGCTAAATTAGTTTCCAAGTAGCTGTGCCAGTTTCAATTCCACAGGCAAAGTGTCTGTCATTTTTCTTTACTTCCTGCCTTTACTGGATACTGTGAAAAACAAATCTTGGTAGTTTTTAGATGAAAACTTGTATCTTTTTTTTATTTTTTTATTTTTAGAGTTGATAACAAGAGCAGGCATTTTAAATGTTTATTGCTGCTGAGCATGGTGGCTAATGACTGTAATTCCAGCACTTTGGGAAGCCAAGGTGGGAGGGCCCCTTGAGCCCAGAAGCTCAAGACCAGCCTAGGCAACAGAACGAGATCTCATCTCTACCCAAAAAAAAAAAAAATTAATTGACTGTGGTGGTGTGTATATGTAGTCCCAGGTACTTAGGAGGCTGAGACAGGAGGATTGCTTGAGCCCAGAAGTTGGAGACTACAGTGAGCCCTGATCGTGCCACTGCATTCCAGCCTGGGCAACAGAGTGACTCTGAGTCAGAAAATAATAATAATAAGTGTTACCCCGTTATCTTCCTTTATTCTTAACCATTTTTGGCAGGTTGATTTATCTGGTTAAGATATTTCCGCACTTTGCTAATGCCTCTTGATCGTGGTTGCTGGACAGTGTCATGGCTCATGTTCATGTTTTTTCACAGCAGTTATTGAACATCATTTCTTTGTTTGAGTCCCGAGAAAGATTCAGGCTAGGGACACTCGTGGGCAGCTCTGGTTCATGGGACTCCTCAGCCCGTGGCTGAGCAGGTGACTGGTGAGCGGGCCTGGGTGGTGGTGACGGGGGAAGAAGGCTGGGCCCAGAGGTGAGACTTCATCCCTCAGCCCTGCTCTCCCGCTGTCCTGCTCTGTGCGGCGTTTTCTGATTTTCTCATATTTGTCATAGTTTCTCAGTTATCTCAGTGAGGTTGAGAGGAGAGTGGTATCGCTTCATCTGTTTACTAGAATAACCCTCCTGGCTGCTGGTCACAACCATCTTGTTTACCTCAGCTGAAGTTGTGCCGCAGGTGTTTGTGTTGGAGAGTGGCTAAAACCCCTGCATTTTGGCCGGGCTCGGTGGCTCAGCCTGTCATCCCAGCACTTTGAGGAGCCGAGGCGAATGGATGGCCTCAGCCCGCGAATTCGAGACCAGCCTGGGCAACTTGACGAGACCTCATCTCTACAATAAATCAAAAACTAGCTGGGCATGGTAGTGCGCGCCTCTGGTTCCGGCTCCTTGGAAGGCTGAGGCGGAAGAATCGCCAGAGCCCAGTGGGTCGACGCTGGGGTGGCCATGAGCATGCCACTGCACTTCAGCCTGGGTGACGGAGTGAGACTCCGACTCAAACCCCCCCCCAAAAAAAAACACAGGAAAAAAAACCCTGCATTTTGCTCACAGGTGAAATTAGAATACTAGAAATACATATCACCTGCTAGCTCTATGTAAATGTCAAGTCAGAATTTCGAGGGAAGAGCTTCAGAGGCTGCAGCATTGCCACATCTTTAC